TATAATTTTTTCACATTCTCCAACTCTCCAGCATCAAGCCACAAGGCAAACCCACAGAATACATTCAGGGAAGACAGTACAGACGTCAGCACTGGTAAGACCTAGTGTATGGCAACTCAGGCAGACAAGCCCCATGACCTGCGGCAAGTCTCTGGACCTCTCTAAACATTATTTTCTTATGTATTCAATGGGATGATGTAAGAGTTAGGCTCATTAGGGACAATTTATCTAAAATGGTTCATATGCAAGAAGCATACATGATGGCTACTAATAAATCTTTGTAGCTTGACAACATGGTCCACTTTCCTTTATATTTCCTATTCATTCCCTCAGTTATTCTTGGAGCAAGTATCCATTTGAAGAGGGACCAGTTTCTTTTTCTTACCAACTATCCCATATTCCTCTGGAGAAAAGGGTACCTTCTACCTCTCTGTATTTCCTATACCACTAGAGATGTGCTGCCTCTCAGACATGGTGGGAGTTGGGGGCCACAGGGGAAAGGAATATTTCTTAATCTTGATTCTATGTATAGAGTTTCAATGCTAGCTTTTTTATACTTGTGAACTCATGAAATCCTTACTGCAACACTCTGAGATAGGAACTACTATTATTCCCATTTTACAGATGAAGTTGAGGCCCAAAAAGATTAGGTAGCTAGCCCAAGATAGACAAGTAGAAAATGTGCCAAGCCTTGACTCCAACTTCAGTTTATCTAATTCTAAAACATGGGCTCTTCTCAGAAGTCTTCACTGTAAGGAAGAGGAAGCAAACACCCCGAGAGGTTAATGAGGTGAATCCTAAGAACATCAGTTGTTTGGGACCTACTGAGTGGAAGGAGCTCCAGCCAGGGAGCCACTCCTGGGTGGCAACCCTGGCTCTGCCATTGCCCAGGGGAGTGACCACTGGCAAATCATTCTCCTCTTGAGACCTCATCTGTGACAACCGGGCTGTGGCCTGCCACCAAACATTAACTTCTTATAACCTTTTATATATATCAACTTCCTGAGAAGTTGTGTATTCCGGAGAGGTTATTCATGTTTTATTGTATACAGACTTTCAGAGTATTGTGTTACTTGTGTTTGTTAAAATAAAAATGTACTTGCTTTTAGTCAGGAAGGCAATGAAAAGAGTTTTAATGAGAATCATCCTCATTATGATAAATATGGAATATTTTAATTAATAAAAATAAACTTGGAGTCAAAGTAAACCTTACGCATTTTATGAACAGTAAGAGGTTGGGAATGAATAAAAGCAGCAAAGTAGAAACACAATATTTTTTCCGGGAAGGATGAGACATAAATATCAGAAGGCCCCCTCCCCTACCCCACCCTCCCAGCTCACAGGTCTTTAACTACAGCATATATGACTAGGGTCAGAATCTCCTTCTAAGGCATTTCTCTGTTCTTCAGAAGACCAAGCATAGGCTGGGCTCATGCTGGAGCTATATAAATGTTCGTGGACAAAAGAACTGATTAATGATGCCCCTACTAAATTTCAAAATTGGGCAAGCAAATATTATCTCTACATCCATTTGGTGGCTGAGAAAAGTAATGCTCAAAAAGTAGAGGTGACTTGTCTGAAGTTAGATCACCAAAGAGTGGGGGGCTTAAAGTATGAACCCAAATACCCAGTATCTTGACTGACCCCAGACTGCCTCCTATGCACGACAAGAGCAGCATATAGAAGCAATGATAAATAAGCCTGATAAAAAGACTGTTTTCTTAAAAAATTAATCTCTCAGGATCCTGATGACCTAATGAGATAATCAATATGATGGCAATTTATAAGCTCCTATGTGGTAAGCCAATGTTAGCGGAACTTACTCCCTAGGGCTAATGACCAGTTGAGCAGTCATGACCCTGAATGTACCATTCCTTAACCCAAACTAACTAGAATTTTTCAAGAAACTTCCAAAAGTTAGCACAGCTGCGAGGTACAGAGAGTTCACACTCGGTTTGATGTGACTTCAAACCTGAGGCATCTGCCCTGTGATCACTGACTTCTCCTAAATCCCATTAAAGCCTTGATTCTTGGAGTCAAAATTCTCCTGGGAGAAAATATGAAGGTAGCTTTTTGTCATTGTCATTGTGGTTAACTGATGATCCCTGGGTATAGCACTAACATGAAATATAAGGGAAGTTAAAAAGTTTCACTATTTCCAGGTGTTCCTAGAAAATAAGGAGGCAATAGTGAACTGTGATTTCAGAAAGGACAGAGCACTAACACACTAACACTGACTAAGCCATACTACATTGCAGACCCCAAGCTAGCTCTCACCCACAGTATCTCCCTCACCTTTCGTTCTTTTATTTCTTATTTATTTATTTGGAGACAGAGTTTCACTCTTTTTGCCCAGGCTGGAGTGCAATGGCGCAGTCTCGGCTCACTGCAACTTCTACCTCCCAGGTTCAAGTGATTCTCCTGCTTCAGCCTCTCAAGTAGCTGGGATTACAGGCAAGTGCCACTATGCCCTAATTTTGTATTTTTGTATTTTTAGTAGAGACAGGGTTTTACCATGTTGGCCAGGTTGGTCTCAAACTCCTGACCTCAGGTGATCTGCCCACCTCAGCCTCCTAAAGTGCTGGGATTACAGGCATGAGCACCGCACCCAGCCCCCTCACCTTTCTATGACAAGTGAAAATATTCACACACACACACACACACACACACCCCTCCCTTTAAAGATAAGTGAAACCAGGCTCAAGGAGGCTAACTAACCTGTCTCTAGTTACACAGCATATAAAGAGAAGAGTTAGAACTAAAAACCAGGTCTGCTGTGCTCCGAAGTCAGTACTCTTTCCACTACACTAAGCTGACAGATGGCACTGACTGGAAGACTCCAGGCACTGCCCCCAGAAATGTCTATCTGTTCATCATGGGACACATTCCTCTACCATGATCTTCCACTGAGTGCCCTAATACGGAGATTACAAATAACAAGAATAGTGTCAACTGATTGTCCTCCTTTGATGGCAGGTAACGAACCTGAAAATATACATTATTTTCCTCGGGCCTTCCATCAAATTCCACTTCTGGAATGGGCACCATTTGACAAGCTGTATGTGCAGTGACACAACCCAATACAAATAAAATGGAAAAAAACAACTTTATTTTTCACTACTTGCATCCCTTATTTGAATTGTGAATACTCTAGTTACATTTCATAAATAGCCTGCCTAGAAACTCATTTTGTGATGAAATATGCCCCTGTGTGACTTGTATTTGAAACCGTCTGGCTTGCTTTCAACAGCTTGAGTTAAAGAACTAGGGTGATAGGCTTGTGAAGAACTCTAAAGGGCCTCTTAACTTTCTTTATGCCACTCTTTCCCACAATAGATGACCCAAATTGTCAGGTATTCTTTTTTCAGGAATTAAAATATCTGCCCCTGGAGTCATCTAAATCTTAATAAGAGGGGGGAAAAAACACTTCTATTTTGTAATATCAGGTAATAATATGGGAAATACACTTATATCAAATAACAAAATAGGACATGAAATTGTATGAAGAGTATGATGTCAACCACATATTATCCTGGAAGGCCAGTTTAAGGATGTAACTTCAGTTGTTAATAGTAGTTATTTTTGTTTGTCCTTTCTAATTTCAGCAATAAGCACATACAGCTTTTAAAAAGTTAAATAAATGTAAAAAATAAAAGATAATATTTTCCAGAAATAGTCCTAAATATTATTCAGGGTTTCATCCCTACCAAAAATCATTATATGAGGACATAATATTAACTGATAAAAATAATTATATGAGAATATAATATTAACTAATACCAGACACAAGGGTTGTCCCAGAAAAGAAGTTACACACCAATCTTGCTGATAAATATAGATACAAAAACCATTCCTTAACCTAACAAATCTTGCTGGTAAATATAGATACAAAAAAACATTCCTTAACCTAACAAATCAAATCCACCAGAGTGTAGAAAATAAAAGCATTACGACCAAGTAAGATTTACCCCAGAAATGAAGATTTAAAAATCTATCAGTTAAATCCACCACAGTATAAATTATAAGAGGAAAAATATGTATAATCATTGAAATAAATACAGAAAAAGCATATGATAAAATTCAGCATGCAAATTTAGAATTTAAAAATACTTCCTAGAAAATAATACATAAAGGGGAACTAATAAATATGTTTTATTTTGTTTTGTTTTGTTTTGAGACATCGTCTGGCTCTATTGCCCAGGCTGGAGTACAGTGGTGCGATTGTGTCCCACTGCAAGCTGCCCTTCACGGGCTCAAGCCATCCTCCCAATTTAGCCTCCTAGGTAGCTGGGACTACAGGCATGTACCACCATACTTGGCCATTCTTTGCATTTTTTTTTTTTGTAGAGACAGGGTTTCATCATGTTGCCCAGGCTGGTCTCAAACTCATAAGCTCAAGCGATCTACCCACCTTAGCCTCCCAAAGTGCTGAGACTATAGGCGTGAGCCACCATGCCTGGCCAGAAAACTATCTTTAGTAAAAACTTAAGCATCACTTAAATGTAATCTAGAAGCAATCAGGAACAAGATAAGGACATTTACTATCACTAAATATTATAATGACAGATCCAGCCAATTAGAGAGAAAAAGAGTAAGTACTTAAGGATAGATGAGAAATTTATTTGCGGATTATACGCTGTCTCCATAGAAAATCCAAGCATAGTTGGCGAAAGTAGTAGTAATAAAAGAGCATAACGACATGGTTATATTCAAGATTCAATATCAGTATATAAACTGTTTATTCCTTTTAAAGTTGTATTAATTTTGTCCAAGTTAGCAACATTTGTTTAATGAAATACTATTACATCATCAAAACTGAAGAACAAGAAATGAATTAATGCTTACCAGCACATTTTCTCTCTCTCTCTCTCTTTTTTTTTTTTTTTTTTTTTTTTTTTTTTTTGAGACTGAGTCTTACTCGGTCACCCAGGCTGGAGGGCAATGAAGCCATCTTGGCTCACCGTAACCTCTGCCTCCCAGGTTCAAGCGATTCTCCTGCCTCAGCCTCCCAAGTAGCTGAGATTACAGATGTGAGGACATGGTGAGAAGATGACCATCTACAAGCCAGGAAGAGGGCCCTCACCAGGAACCAAACTGGCTGGCACTTTGATCTTAGACTTTCTAGCCTCCAGATCTGTGAGAAACATGTTTCTGTGGTTTTAGCTGCCAAGTCTATGGTATTTTCTTATGGCAACTCAAGCTAATTAAGACAAGATGAATGACGAAGGAAGAGAAAAAGAGAAAAGAGGGGAGAGGAGGGAAATTGAGAAAGATGACAGGGAAGGGAGGAGAAGAGAAGGAGAAAAGGAAAAGGGAGGAAAAAGAGGAAGAAGATCACAGCTAACCTTTGTTGAGCATTTAATATATGGCAAGTAATATATTAAGTATTTTATTTGCTTTATTTTCATTAATCTTCATAGTGAGCCTTTGAAGTCAGTAATATTATACACCCATTTTATAGGAGAGGAAAATGAGGCTCAGGTTAAATACTTTCAAAGGTCACACAGTGAGAAAGTGGTAAAGCCAGAATTTGAATCCAGCTCTGCCTACCCAAATTCCATGGTATTAGCCGCTCCCTGGAGGACACTCCTCACATACGTATTATGTTGATTTCAGAGTTTTTTTAGGATATGAAGATGAGGAGGTTCTAAAAGGGTCACCTTCACGCTGTTATCCCAAATCCCCAACTGAGCCAATGTCCTGAAAACCTGAATCCTCTCTGCAGAACGCTTCTGGTTTTGCATGTTAAAATTAAGAATGAAAAAATATGCACTAAGATAACATTTTTAATGCATTAAGCATTCAAGAGTGCAGGTTTGGCGGAAAGGTTAAATTTGAGGCAAAAATATAACTTGTCAGTTTCCACTGAAAAAGCATTTAAATTCTAGTACATACTGGGCTCTGCGACCTCTTTTTTTTTTTTTTTTCCCCACACAGCAGTCTCCCAAGACATGTTCTTTCACCCACTTACTTTCTTTCTATTATTCTTAGACCATGATGCATAGAAAACAGGTTTACATTAATTTTTAGGGAATGAAATAGACTGCCTCCAAAATATTTGTGTTTCAAATAAACATCAAAAGCAAAATTTATAGTCCTTCCTGGGCTTCTGGCTGTCCAAGAGCTGCATATGTATTACAGTTATGTCCCCTACTTCATATAGAGTGCCAGACACATGCCATCACAAAACATAACTGGGCAGGCACAGTGATGTCTCAAACAAATCACTGTCTATACCAAGAAGTCAAGGGCATCCCGGTTTGCAAGCCCACATTGACAGATTTCAAGACCTGAAAGAGAGCTCTGTTAATCCCCTCCCATGCAGCTGAGAAAACAAGGGAGAGAGAGCAGAAACTACAGGGAGAAAACATACACACACAGAGAAAGAAGTTGCTCATATTTAATTGGCAGGGGGTGAAGCTTACTGAAAAACATGGTCCTAAAGCCATGGGGCTAAATTCTCCAGAAAACATGAAAAGTGATAGAATTACTTTATCATCACACTAGGCCTGCAAATCTTCATTGCCAGATATCTCTGGCTGCTCTCTGCCAAGCACTTCCTAAGTGCTGAGACTTAAAATGTGAACAAAACATCTAGCTCCAAAGGAGCTTACGCAGGACATTTTTAATAAAGTGAAACACTAACCAAGTACTAATGAAACAAAACAAATAAAAACATTTATATCAATTCTGGGAGTCAGAAAAGGCTCCCCCAGGAGGCTCCCCTAAACTCAAACCTAGTGAATAAGCAGGAGTCAGTTCAGAGAAAACAACAACAACAACAACAACAACGAAGGGCAACAAAAAAGGATTTCAGGCTGGATTAAGAGTCCAGTGGTTCTTAAAGTAGGGTCTCTGGACCAGCAGGACTGGCATCACCTAGGAAGCTGTTTTAAAAGGAAAGTCTTGCGTCCTACCCTAGACACCGAATCTGACACTTTGGGATGAGACTCAGAAATGAAGGCTTTAAACAAGCCCTCCCAGTGATTCTGGTTCAGCCAGAGTTTGACAACCACTGGTACAGGTAAAGATGAACTACAGGATGTCTGGAGGGTAAACAGGGATGGGGAAGTGGGGAGGTTAGGCAGAGATGTTGCTGGAGGGATGGATAGAAGGCATATGCAGAAAAACTTTGTATATTATGAGAAAAGGTTTGGATTTTGTTTGGAGAGTAATGAAGAGCCATTACATTATTATATTATATACATTATTATATTATGAATACAAATGAAGAGCCATTACATTATTATATTATGAATACGAAACACACAAAATAACTATTTAAAAATACATGTGACCATAAAGATACTTATTTATATCATTCCAGAGATTATATCATTCCAGAGATTTAAAAACTCATTCCTGTGCAGAAAAGTTTTGGATTTTATCTGGAGAATAATGATGGACCATTACATTATTATATTATGAATACAAAACACACAAAATGACTATTTAAAAATATTTGCAATCATAAAGATATTTCTTTCTATCATTCCAGAGATTTAAAAACTCATTCCTGTGCAGAAGAGTAGCCATTAAAAAAAGAAGGTCAAATTCAGCCCTACCTTTCTTTCTGGAGTCTTTCTTGGCGCTGGTTTTCACAGCTACTTGAAGTTCTGTCTCAGTTGACATCCTACTTAATCCTTAGTCCACTTCACACAGATCCCGGGCCTTGGCCAGGCTCATTGAGGACTCTTCTCCAAGAGAAAGACTCCTCCCTTCAGAAATGACACTCTGAGCTGCACATTTCATTCACTCTTCTTGAGTGCTGCAAATCAAGGCAAGAGAACATTCAGAATCATCACTGTTACGAAGTTAAACAGACATTTTAAAAAAGTGAATTGGCAAACATATACAAACAAAATCTTGGTCTTCATGCAAACACTGCTCCCATGGTTTCATGAAGGCATTGATAGGGTTTATACAGCAAAGGGAATGAGAGGCTTATAGCGGCAAAACTGCTTCTCAAACTAGGTAACTCAAAATAGATCTTTAAAAGTCTAGATTTATAAGAGGGACAAAACCCAACTCTGTTTTCTGTGTTTCTTATTTTCAAGCATCAGATCCCAACCAGAACATACAGCAAAGGTATGGCCAGCCCCATGGAGATATTTCCAACAAGAGAGCACCCGTCTATCAGCCAGGCTTGATCAGCGCCTTGGCAGCAAAAGCAGATCATATGGAAGTGACCTGTGGTCTGTCCCTCACTGGCAGGCATCAGAGGGGGCATAGAGTTGACATACAACTGGACTCCAAGGGTAAGGTGACAAATGGGGCCGAGAAACTTTCCAGCAAGCCAATTTTATGTCAATTTTTCCTCCAGCTATAAGAGCAGACAAGCATTTAATGTGCAGAGAAAGAGAAAAGAAACAGGCAGACACAGATTTCATTCATTCATTCTCTAATAAATATGCATTGAACAATACCAGGTGCTATTAAACTCAAACACTGTGCTAGGAAGATAATAATGATAATAAAGATAATACAACCACTTCACTTACAGGTAATAGTTACTATATACTATGCCCTTAGCTACTGCTTCACATATAGTATCTCACTTGGTCTCATTCAAATTAAACGAATATACAGTATTCTCTTTGATAATAGTCTTTTCCTGTGACTATGATAATTATATGAGAGTTCTATTAAAAAGTAAACATTTCACCAATTTTCACTTTTGAAAAGTATTAAGAAAAAGCTATTAGAAATGGGTCTTCGAATTGTGCAGCCAATTCTTAGTTCATCCCACAGATCTAGAACGGTTTAATAGAAAACGATTGACCTCGAATGCCAGTTTCAGTTCAAAAAGAATAATGACCCAAACCTGTTAATCATGACAATCTAGTTAATCTTAACCAGAAAGTCTAATATAAAAGCCATGTAAAATTATAGTAAAGCTTGAATATGAGGAAATTCCCACCTTAATCCAAAGATATCTGTTTTGTTTTATTTGTATATAAGCTAACTATTTTTTAAAAAGGAAATGGCCCAAATGAAAGTACTTGATCTAGTGAATCTAAGGCTACAACTAAGAAAAACAGAAAGTTATCTTTGTAAAACAGGGTCCATGAAACCGTACACAGAAAATGAGAATTTATCCTGCCACTTTTATACCATCTATCTATACCTTGCCACCAGCCCCCACACCCTTTCCAGCCCCTTATCTCTAAGACAACGTTCAATGGAAGATGACAGAGTCACAAAATTTGGTCATGTATAAACATAATCAAATTTATTAATAATATTTACCATTTCATTGCGGCAAGTATTTACTAAGAATCTACTATGGGCCAGGTACAAATGCTAGCTCATTCATGTTAACAGATATTTACCAAGTAACCATGCTGGCCAAGAGTACATAGTCAAAGGCTGGTTCCTATTCTCAAAGAAGCTCAATCTAACAGGGGTATCAGTCATGTAAGGGACGGCAACACACATATGTGACCAAAACTAAAACAGGCATATAAATACCAGGCATACGGGGTAGAAAGATGCAAGTATTCATCTTTGCTTGGAAGGGTCAATAAAGCTTCAGAGGATAAGCCCTACTCTGTGAGATGTTGAAGAGCAATGTGTCTGTCAAAAGGACAATAAGGGAAAGGACCAACAGCTTCTCAATAATTATATGTAGAATGAATGAATGAATGAATGGTTGTTTCAGGCAGAAAGATCAGCATGTATAAAAGCAAGGAGGAGTGAAATCAACAACCAAACAAGTAAAAGGAGGCACAAATCTAGCAGGGAAGTGATGTACTTCCGCATCTTCCCAGTTTTTCCTTGTGCTGCTATCTTTCTATGGAATCTCTTGTCTCAAGTCTGCCTTGACATTCTATCGACTCCTCAAGGTTTAGTTCGAAGAGACATCACAGGCAGAAAGATGTTTTGATCTCTGTAGCAAAACAGACTCTCTCCCAACTTACTTTATGATTTGATTTTTGGACAACTTCAGTTTCAGCCACTTACAAGCCACATGATTTGAGGAAGTTACTTAACCTGGTCTTTGCCTCAGTTTCTTCATCTGTACACTGGGGATAATAGTGCCCACTGGTGGAGCTGTTGTGGCAATCAAGTATGATCACACACGTAATGTGATTGGAAGAGTGTCTGGCATGCCTCCTGGTAAGCATTTAATAAATATTAGGCACATAAATTCCTGTGCCACTTGCTCAAGGCCACATGGCTGGTATGTGACCGAAAGTCTATATTATCTCCCCTTTACAAAGGAAGAAACTGATTCAAGTTAATTTTGCTGTTTGAGGATGAACTGTAGGAAATGGTATCAGTTGGTCTTGGACACAGTAGATGCCTAATTTATAAATTCAGAAAGTAGTTGAAATATGTGGATTTTACACATTTTCAAGAATTTTTTAAAATCAGTGTATAAAACTGGATTGGATTTGGGCCATTTTCTCTTCTTCAAGCTTCTAAATCACAATATAGCATCTCTCCCTATTTCTATCTTCAAAGATGCTTGTTCAACAAAATATGATTATGTTCAAGTGTTACAAGCATTACTTGTGAATTTCTGAAGTACATCCCTACATCAATAATGAAAGGAAACCACCATCATTCTGAATAAAAACTTAAATAAGCTACAGTACTGTGAGAACGTACCACAGTGTGGACCCTGGCATCCCCTTTAATTTTCCAAAAGGCAGAGGTTGAGCAAATGCTGTGAAGTAACTCCAAATTATTTAGGAAATTCGCTTCTTTGTAATTAAGGAGATTAAAGTCCTCCAGGGCCAGAAACCATGTGACAACTCAAATCATTTTCCCCAGTAAAAGCTGTGAAACCCTATCAGTTAAATTCAGGCTTGCCTGGAATTTTGAAATGCTTCAATAATATTTCTTTGCTCCACACAATCTGCAGTAATTTAATATTCCTGAAGTGTGTCAGGTTTTTTATAATGAGCTCTTCAAATCTAAATGTGAATTATGTAACATTCCACTACAGACATTCTGTCTAGTGAACTGCTTCTAAAATGTAAAATTTCATGTTTAGCGATGGGGTGGGGGCCAAAAACACCAAACCACAAAGCAGAGAAAACAGATATGCCTTTTTTTTTTAAACAAAACATGAAGGTTTCAGCAGCTACAACAGAACAAACACACACTAAACACATACTATAATACACATTTGTGTTCTTTCTTTCCCCCTTTTCTCATATAATCCTACAATAAAACAGCTATTACTTATTGAGGGTCCACTATTTACCAAGTACTATGCTATAAGTTTTTCTGGCATTATTTGATGCAATTCATTCAACTATTTGAAGAGTCCAATATAATTATCTACATTAAACAAATGAGGAAACTGAGGCACAAGCCAGCTTAGGAGCTTGTCCAAAGTCACATAGCTAGTAAATAGTACAGCACAGGGCAAGTTACAAGACGCTCATCTCTCCAACTTCCCTCAAAGCCCTCCCAGATTTCCATCAGTGGGTGAATGGAAAAACAAAATATTTGTACCATGGACTATTGCTCAATGTATAAAGGAAATATAGTACTGATACACAGTGCAATGTGGATGAACCCTGAAAACAGCAAGCCAAGTAAGTTAGACAAAATATGTTGCATATTGTATGACTTCACTTATATGCAATATTCAAAATAGACAAATCGTTGGAGACAGAATGCAGGTCAGTGGTTGCCAGGGGCTACGGGAGGGGCATAAGGCTGAGGAACTGCTTAATGGGTATGGGGTCTTCTTTGGGAGTGATGAAAATATTCTGGAACCAGACGGAGGCGAAGTTGCACAACATCGTGACTACAATAAATACGACTTTAAAATGGTTAATTTTATGTCATGTGAATTTCACCCAAATTAGAAAAACAAAACAAAACCCCTCCCAACCTGATATGAGCCTTGTGTGATAACACTAAGGCCACTGGAAATTCCAGTTTAAAAAATAACGTAGTGCTAAAAAACAGATGAAAATGTAGTTTTCCCAAAACCAAGACTTTGAGTTTGTGTGGCAGTAACTGCATGCATTAAAACTCTATGTCACTATTGGCATGTTTTGTGATTTGATGTCTTACTTAGCTTCATCCAAGGTATAAGGCATAGAAAACGGGACATTTATCAACAAGGCCCAAAGGTTTATAACAGTACAGACAAGAAGCCTCAGTTTCCTCATCAGTAAAATGGGAACACCACCACCAAGTATGTGAGATTTAGAAGATAAATGAGATTTGGGCATTAAAAAGCCTAGCTCAGTCTATAGCATGCTACCTTTATCTTTACAAAAAGATACACAGGATAAACAAACCAGGTATCACGCAAGTTGTTTTTCATCACTTAGTGGTGATGTGACTGGGTGTCAGGGTAAAAGGGATATGGCAGAGGGTGATACTTCTCAGGATACAGCTTTTTGCATAATTCCCACATTTGGAAGCATATTAATGTTCTACATATCTGAAAAAAAATAAATTAATAGGGAAGGTAAGGGTGAGCGTAAAACTAAAAGTAGACGGAAGCAAATCAATTCAATTGTATGTTAAACGGACATCGTAAGCACACTTGCTAAAGAGGTGGAGGAGAAAAAACTATCAAATAACATAAACACAGAATTGGATGACACACACCCAGTCTTGGGTAGAGTTGAAGCAAGAGCAGCAGCAAACAAATTCTGAGGTCTTTTTAGTAGGCTTGTTTTCTGTAGTGTTATGAGCAAAGCAGAAGAAACTATTTTCGATGTTCTATAGAATGGAGCAAAGGAATAAATGCACAGATATTGTTGGGAGCCAAGCTTCTCCTATGGGACAAGGGATGTTAAAACATGGAAAGGAAAGCAGGAAAGAATGCTAAAGTGATAGATTGCAAATTGTAGGTTTCAGAGTAAACTCGGGATTTGTAAAGTATGCATGCATCTGTATATAAATGTATAGATATGAATGTATGTATGTGTTGATATGCAACTATTTCCTATCTCTGTCCATTAAGAGGGCCTAGGAGCAAAGATACTCTAGCAACAAGGAGATAACTAATACTTAGATTTTGGATTCTGCTATCATTTTCCAGCAAAAGAAACCAAGGCTTCTTGGGGGAAATGAATTATTTCAGAGCTGGCGCATGGCAGGTACAAAATGAGCCTGAAATATCTTGTTATTCCAGAAATTAAGTGCTCAAAACAAACAAAAAATGATGAGAGAATTTTATAAAGGACGCAGAAGGCATCATGAAGAGTTCTTGCCAGCCTAATTAGGAATTATTTAAACACTGCTATAATTAAGGATGGTAATAAATAATAAACCATTGAAAAAATAGAAATCCACAAATCTATACTGATGACAGACAGACATACCAATGGGGTAAGAATGGAAGGCTGTCTTGCTTATAGCAGAACAGGTGCTGACTGGTAAATACCGACTGCTGGAGTTATAAAATCAACATTTTGCCGCCATCAGAGCCATCAGAGTAAAGAC